TATCTATCTATCTATCTATCTATCTATCTATCTATCTATCTATCTATCTATCTATCTATCTATCTATCTATCTATCTATCTATCTATCTGAATAAGCCTATATGCAGATAAGGAGAATCAATTTTCAATTTTTGTGTGCATTTTGGCACCTAAAAATCTTGGCTTATCTGTGAGTATATATAATAGCCTCTTCTACAAATTGTGCTATAACTCTGGAAACAGGATAGGGAAAGAATTTATGCTATTCAATTCTAGAATTGGAGAAGAATGTAGACAGCCAAGAAAATAAAATGACATCATCAAAAAAAATGACAGATCATCAAAAAAAAAATCAACTCAGTTTTCACTTGAGACACAAATGACAAAAAGCCCAGGTTTAAGACCCGAGTGCAGCGCAATGGGGGTGAGCTCCTGTTCTTTGCCTGAGCTCCTGCCAACTTAACAGTTTGAAAGCATGCAAATGTGAGTATACTAATAGGTACCACTTCAGTAGGAAGATAACAACATTCTGTGTACTTTTGGCCATAGAAATGTTTTTGGACAATGCTGGCTCCCTTGACTAAGAAACAGAGATGGGCACTATGCCCTGAAGTTGGACCCTATTAGACAGGGAAATCTTTACCTTTATCTACAAAATGACCAGGCTCAAATCATCCTACCCTAGACACATTATGTGAAGATCCAGCCTCCTGAAAAAGTCTATAAGGCTGGAAAAGGTGGAAGAAAAGAGGAGGATGACCAGTAACAAGATGGACAGATTCAGTTACAATGACAATGGATGCACCCTTGAAAGGCTTGAAAGACCAGGTTAGATCATTGTGGAGAAAATCTATTTATGTGGTTGTTAGGAGTCAACAATGACTTGGTGGTACATAATCGATTTACCTTCTTGAGAGGTAAATATAGCACATGAACCAGGACGTTTTGGCGCAGGGGATTCCTATAGTCTCCAATACATGCAAATTGCCAATTTTCTTTGGCACAGTTATTGAACAACAACAACTCCTAAGACTGGTGTGTCAAGAAATAGACAGAAAATAATTCACCCAGCACTAAAGCTAATGAAAGAGTTTATTCTTGCCACTTTGCCCCACTGCTACATAATTCTTTGCAGAACTTTCAAAATAAAGAAATTAGAATGAGGCCATTGGATAGGGCAATGTTGGCTAACTAGGGAATTCTGGGAGTTGAAGTTCACACATTTTAAAGGTGTCAAGGTTGAGAAACATGGTGATAGAGCAGACAAGAACTCCGACTCCCAATAGAACAATCCACCAACCTTCTCCAGAAATACGGAGATGATGTAGCACTGAAGAAACCCCCATCTTCATGGAGTTTTGCTGGTTGAGCAACTTTTGAAGAGAGACCCAGACTTGTTGGGTAGGATTTCAGATGTGATCTTTGGACTGATACCTTTTTCTTGTTTTCACCTAAGCCATTCACATGACATTCACACAAACAGCAAGGAGAGATGGAGTAAAATCAAATGAAAATTAGAAATTTCCTGACAGTTAGAACAATTAATCAGTGGAACAGCTTGCCTCCAGAAGTTGTGAATGCCCCAACGCTGGAAGTCT